TTTCGACAACCGAACCAACTACCGCAGCAACAGATCACCAACAACAGCATCACCATCAGTCCCGGCGTAGGCACAAACGATCAAAGAAATCCCTTCAGCTCAGTGGTGGGGGCGGAACAACAGAATCCAGTAGTTCCCAACGACGTAAATCTTCCAAATCACGAGAACGTTCCCGGGATAATGAACGGTATTGGGTGTAAATCTGAGGAATTGGAGGACGCCCATAACGTCCAAAGTGATGAATCTAATCAATCGTTCATTATGGAGACCACAGTCTCATTGGAATCAAGAGTGAATGACAAACCTCAGGAAAATGAAAAACACAAAGATCCTGATCTAATGTTAAAATCGGTCGAAAGATTAACCCTTGAGTTTGTCTCTTCGGCTGAACAGTTGAGAACCAACAGTAGTGGTCCTACCCATCATAGTCACAATTTTGTACAAGCCACAGTGACAACGGATAGTTCTGGCGGCAATGATTGCACAACAACGGCATCCATTTCCAATGACACTTGGGATGAAGATACTTGCCCCAATGATGTAAGTTTTCCCAGTGTTAGTATGTCGGTACCCAAAATTGTCTCCATCACCTATGACGAAGATGATGAAGATCAAGCCACCACAGCTGATTACAAGGAGCTAAATGATTTTGCAGAGAATACACCGAATATTGATGAATTGCCGGCACCCGATTTATCTTTAGATTTCGATAATATTGGTGTACAACAGGCAAATGGCAATGGTGGTTATAACTATGATTCTCAGCCGTCATCCATTGATTGTTATACCGACAAAACGTTGGTAAATGAAAGGAGCGGGGATGTATCGGATAAAACCCAAATAGATGGTAAACAGACAGATAAACACGAATCGGCAACATCTGAAAATTCTTCCTGTGGCCTGAATTTCAAATTGGGTGGTATTGTGCAGACTGCGGCCGCTGCTCCTTCGTTGTGTTTCAATGTCAGTGCAATGACAAATTCTACCTTCATAGCCCAAGAGGCTAGAAAGCTGGCCAATAACCTACAGGCTGCAGACACTGATTGTGAGGAAGAGTTAACCTTTAGCATTAATAGCCTGGATTTGGACAATATTCGACCACCATCCGGAATGGATTCATTGAATATTTCTGGCTATTATCAAGATACCCATACACAACCGAATTCACTGCAAAATTCTCCGCAAATGCATTTCAAGTCTCCGAAATTCCCGCGCAAAACATTACCTGCTGGTTTGGTAGCACGCAGAGCATTGGGTCAAATGCCTCCACATCTTAGCGGAAGTGCGGAGTCGGTTAATTCTTCGTGCAACTTGTTACTGGATAACATAAAACCGCCCAGCTTAATGGACGAACTGTTGGACTCGATGATAAGTGTCTCCAGCATACAATCTGAAATTGCCGACGATTGTGCCAGCATGGCCACAACCGTGACGGTGTCAAATTATGAAACAGCTAATGGGGGTGGTGTAACATTGGGCGGTGAGGATGGTGACACCATAACATTGCGGAGCTACAGTGAAGATCAATTGCCACGCGATGATGACCAACATACCTATAACGATGGAAATATTACACCATTACCATCCGATTATGATTTCAGTTCAGCGGAAAGTACACCAAAGAAATCCTACACATCGTCTCCTGGCTTGGGAATAAGAAATCTAACTCCGAAACAGAAACGACAAGTTGTTAAAGATCGTTATCGTACCTATACCATTGATGGGGAAATGAGCGAAGAGTTGAGAAGAAAAATTGAGGAGGCGCAAAAAGATGAGACGCTACAAATTGAGATAACCAACTATGAGACCAACAGCAACACCTTAGAGAATGGAAAGTGCAACAGCGGTGATGGTGATGATGAACAAAAACAAGAGAATGATTTACAAAATACACCACGCAGCCGAAGAAGATCTAGTCAGGAACGTTATAGAACTCAAACTATAAGCTATTCTGATTTGCAGGCCCATTTAAAACAAGAAGCCAATTCCACAGATATAACCTCAACCTCAAATTATAGATTTACACACACAACCAGTGATACTGTGTTGTCAACCGATCAGACCGAATTGAACACTAAATTGGATCAAGATCTAACAAGTTTGGAATATGATCAGAATTCTGAAACAGAATCATGTCATAACTATGATACAAAACCGCATGTCTTGACAGATTGTGAAGAAGAACAAGAGCCAGATGATCCAGAAACGGAAACAATAGAAGTGATTAGACCAAGGATTGTTATACCCGGTGAAAAAAATGCGAGCCATAATGATGCTAATGCGGAAAATGGCGAAGAGGAACAATCCTCGCCGGTGAAGGCGATTCGGGGAGGTAAGAAGCCACAATATGTCTCTCCCTATAGTATGAAGTTTCAAAAAACCAGTGAGCCAAGTAAACCGGTGAAAGCACAAGCGACAACACCTGCTACAGCAACAAAACCAAATTTGCAGTTAAGAAAACCCAATGGAACTTCTGTTGTGGCTGCTAATACCAAATTGGCCCAAAAGAAACCTCTAAAGGATGCTGCAGTTAAAGAGAAAACCACAAACGAGGTGGCAAAGGAAGTACCACCGCCCGCCCCGCTGGAACGTCAAGGCACCTTTGTCAAAGATGAACCATCCGTGGATGCCTCCACAGTGCCAGTAGTTGAAACTAGTCCCAAAAAATCCAAACTTTCAAAGCTGCCAATGAAACGCCAATTGTCTACACCCAGCAGCAATACATCACCGCAAAAAACCGCCAGTACACGAAAGCTCCCAACATCAGCCAATTCCGCTTTATCTGTAACAAATAATCGCAGAACTTTCGGTGGTTCCATAACAAAACCTCAAAGGGCAAACAGTAATGTCAATATAAGGGTAACAACCAATGCTGCACGCATTGCCGTATTGTCGACAAGGGTTTCAACCACTACTCCACCATCGCGTAGCAATTCAACATTGAATTCGGCAAATGCGGCTGTTACTGCAGCACAAAATGCTGCGGCAAAAATTAATCAAGCCCAATCACGTATTGCCGGGATTTGGCGTAGGGTGGATGAGGCAAAGAATAAACAACAAACAACAACGACAAAAGCAACAAACAAAGGATCTCAATTAAGTGGAAAGACAGCAAACGCGACAAACACGACTACACCACAACCTGGTACGTTGGTACGTAGTACAACATTTGATAATTCACCACCATTGACGGTAATAAAACCCAAAGCTGGCGTGGCAAGTTCGGCTGCTGCTGCTGGGAAATCAAATGGATCGGCATCAACAAAAATTGCCATGGCACAAAGACAAATATTGGGTATAAGAAAATAATTTCAAAACTAAGGCAAAAGAAAAATAGGGATAATTTTGGTATTTTAAAAATCAATAGAGTGAAATATGAAATAACTGTATTTGCATTTGGACTGGAAGCCAATAATGATAATGACTGCTCCTTTGTTTGAATGTAATAAGCAAATGATGATTAATTGAACGAAACACAAATTGTTATAATATTTATTGTTGAACGAATATTTCATATTAATCACGATTGCATTGCAAACATGTGGTCATAACGAAAAATATCTTATGTGCAAAAGTAATTACATTATATGCCGTTTTCAAATATTATTAAATTGGACACATATTCATTTGTAACATTTTAAATTGTAATTTTCAGATTTTTAACTATCCAAAATTTTTAACAAATTGTAAACGTAATAATAAGACTTTTATAAAATATACAATGTTCTACATTAGAATCAATTCCACGGAAAATATTATAACTGCTGCTAACGAATAGGAGATACCGATTTTTCCTTAACGATCATCGTGTTCAACACTAAAAATGATTCATTTTTCGAAAAATTGGATTTGGATAGGATTTCTACATTAAAATTTGCAAATTTTATATTAATTGTCACTGTTTTTTTAACACTAAGAAAATTGAAAATTCATTTAACGAAATAATTTGATTTTTCCGTTGTTTGGATTTGCCTGGCCTAATTATAAGGACTATCAAAAGGAGAATTCATGACATGTTGAAAAATATTGCAATCGCTTCAAATAATTATTCTGACTTCCCAGATATAACCTCAATGTTTTCCAAATTAAAAATATCATTGTTTGAAATTTAGATTTTTATTCCGTAGTTTTTAAAGAAAACATTTGAATTAGAAAATATTGATATAACCGCTAAAAATGTAAACAATATTGTGGGCAAAGACGGCAAAGAAAAATTCCAAACATTTCATATATCTCAATTTATTGAAAATAGAAAATTCTAAATTAGTAGTTTTGAATACATTAATGAATTTTTAAGTAGGATTAATTTGGAACTGATTTCCATAATATAACCTCCATGGTTTTGTAGTAAATATTTTGATTGCATTAAAATCTGAATTTATATAACCGGTGAAATATTCTAAAAAAATCCCAGATATAACCTCAAAGTTTTCAATTTTTTTTCTTTTTTGATTAATTTTGATTATAGAAAGTATAGATTCAACTGATTTCATATATGTAGCCACTATGGTTTTAAGGTAAATAATTGAATTGGAAAATATTCAGAATTTATATAAACGGAGATAACAAAAAATGACAAAGAGAAATGCCAGACATAACCTCAATGTATTAAAATCAAAATAGAAATGTTTAATTAATTTTCAAAGGGTAAAATATACTGCCTAAGGTTTAAGAGTAACAATTTGGATTTCGAAGTTTATAACCGGGGGAAATTTAAATAATATTGATGCCAAAAAGGACAAAGAAAAGTTCCAACTTCCCAGACATAACCTCAATTAAAAAAAAAATTAAAATCAAAAATTAAAAAATTAAGTATTTGCTTAATTTTGATAGTAGAAAGAAAATATTCAACTGATTTCTGAAATATTTAAAGCAATATTCTGATTGGAAAATATTAGCGATTAATAAAAAATTCAACTGCCCATATATAACTTCAATGTTTTTTTTTAATTATTCAAATTAAAATTGAAAATTTTGAATGCGTGGAAAAAACTAGAAATTTTTCTTTATTGGGCGATTATCAAAAGCTATTCCCACAATTCGACCACAGATTGCATTTCAAAAATATCATAATAGAAGTAGAGTGGTTCTACAAAAAAATATACCCAAATCTAAAGACAAAAACGATTAAGCAGAATTCTGAATACCTTTCGAGATATAAGAGTATCTCTTTGTTTGCGTCACAGGCCATAGAAACTAAATCCTATTCTGAACTATAAATTTACAAAACCTGTTCTTGCAATGTAGTTTTTCAAAGAAAAATAATGAAATATTGTTTCGAAAATAATTCACTACAGACGTAAGTGAAATTTCAAGGGACACATGATCCCTCAGCACATACACCTGGACATTGCTTAGTGCAATCGAAAACTGAAAGACCACCAAATAATTACCCCATAATTCCTCCCGTTAAAATATTAACAAAAACAAATAAAAATCTTTAAATGGTTACTAAATGAGTGTGGTAGTAGAGTATGTGTGTGTGTGTGAATATAACACATAATACATATACAACTTATATATCTATCTACAAAACATACATATTATATGCAACGCACATTTTTATTAAAATGACAACAACAACAAGAAATTTATAACTCAAAAACCAAAATGAAAAGACTTGGATAGGAAATAGTAAAGACACAAAAATATAGAAAAAAAAAGTTCAATGTGAAACACTATATAAACAGAGAATTAAGGCAGTCTAGGGTAGGATCTAATATAAAACTTTTTAAACAACAACAAAATAAAACAAAAATATTATCAACAACAAAATCAAAACAAAATATATCTATTGATTCCCTATAAATCCCTATAAATAAATTAAGGCCTTCAAAAATAAAAAAAAAAACATTTGCTATTCAAAAGAAACCAAAACTTGATTGGTAAAGTCCTCCTAACAAAATGATATAGAAACAGAGAAAAACATGGAATCCTAACATAAACAAATTTAGAAGTATTATATTAATATAATTAAAAAAAAAAACAAAATATGTAACTTGTAGATTTATAATATAAATGTAGAAATTGTGGAACTATATATACATAACCGCCTCAATAATTAGATCTGTTTTTGAGGCAACTTTCTTTCCACACCGACAAAAAAGAACTAAAACAAAATATAAATTTATATATAAAATAAACTTGAAAACAATAAAGTCACATAGGAAGATATTTCTTTGAAACTTCAGCCAAATGTATTTAAAAAATTTAAATTTTTTTATTAATTAATTATTAATGTTATTATTACAAATTTGATTACAGCAACAAAATGCTACTTAATAAAATGGAAACGAAAATATTTATTATCATCATCACACACAATACACACAAAGTGGTAGGCAACATTATTAGATTTAGTATTCCATTTTTATTCACATTATTTACCGTTTTAATTTATAAGTTTCACCAAAAAAAAAAAACAAAAAAGATTTTAAAAGTCTGTTTTCTGTTATTAAATTGTTCTATACCAAAAAAAAAACAAAAAGTAAAATGCACTCGTTTTTAAATTTATTTTATTTTGCCCATATTCATTTTAATTTATTCACAAAATCTCCATTTCATTTGAAATTATTATTAATATGTTTATTCTTCTTGGGTATTTTTTTATAAAAATTAGGTATTTAAGTATTTAGTTTTCTGTTTAGATTTTTCTTCTGGCATTAAATATAAAAAAGTATTTTTATTAAATTACACATATATCTATATATATTTAATTAGACTATAACAACAACAACAACAACAATGAAAAAGTGAAATTATATAAAATAAATGAAAATGATTTGCTTATTATGAAATCTATTTGTGAAATGTTGTTTTATTTTAATAACTAAAAACCACTAAGAAAAGGACCAAATAGAGGACACCCGTCTTTTATAAATTTTAGGGAATTGGAAAATATGAACTCCCAAGTGAACAAGAATTTCAGCATCGTACTAAAATTATATAATAAAAATCAACCCTAGGGTGTTACTCTGTATTGCGTTGCGAAAGCAAGTGCAATGCGAAAGCTAAATGCGTTAAGAGTACAATTTGGTACTCTGTATCACTAACGCAAACGCATTCGCAAAATAAATCGAAAATAAGGCAACACCGGCACCAAAAAGTAAATAATAACGAAGAATGGCAAAAGGAAAACGAAAAAAATCTATACTAATAAATCAGTAAAGTGACTGATTTAACGATTCATCAACGCCCAGACGAAACGGCTGAAGCTAGAATCTTGAAGTTTTGGGTGAGGACAAGGTGACAGATAAGGCTGGATTTTTGGAAATTCGTACTAGTACGTTACGAAAAGTACTAAATGTGATACCATTTGTATTTGGCGAACCGGTGGAGCAAATTTTTTACTTCGTGTATGAAAAGTACTAAATCGTACTATAATACCTACAATTTGGATTTGGGTGAACCGATAGAGATGGAACAATGCAATTTGGAGTAAGGATCATTGTAGGGATGTAGGATTAGGGTCAGGATTCAGTTTATCAAATTATTACTTATTGGTACTAAATTTGGTACAATTTGAATTTTAGGCGAACCAATAGAGCTAGAATCATGAAAATTGGAGTCAGGATCACTGTGGATGTGTAAGATTGAAATATGTAGGAAGTTTTAGAAATTCGTACTAATGTGTACTAAATTTGGTACAATTTAAATTGTGGGTGAAGCGATAGAGTTGAAATTATGAAATTTTGATTTAGGATCACTGTGGAGGTGTAGGATTGGGGTATGTAGGAAGTTTTGGAAATTTGTACTACTGTGTACTAAATTTGGTACAATTTGAATTGTGTTGGAATCCTGAAACTTGGATTTAGGATCACTGGGGGGGGGGTGTTGGTTTGGGTTAAGTAGGAAAATTTGGAAATTCGTACTACTGTGTACTAAATTTACTACAATTTGAATTGTGGTTCAACCGAAAAAGTTGGAATCTTGTAATTTGGATTTAGGATGACTGTGGCTGTGTAGGATTGGGGTATGTAGAAAGTTTTGGAAATCGGTACAACTATGTACTAAATTTGGTACAATTTGAATTGCGGGTGCATCAATAGAGTTGGAATCCTCAACATGGATTTAGATTCACTATCGGGGTGTAAAATTTGGTTTTGGGTGAGCCTTTAGAGCTCGAATCATGAAATTTGGTACTAAATGGTACTCAAATTTAGTTTATGGTCGATATTAATGTGTGGATGGTGTTTTTCTGACATATGCAGTTTGCTATGAAAATAAAATAATATGTTAATACATGTTTAAATATTTCCTACATTCGCTAACGAAGTTGCGGGCATATACTAGTTGTAAGTAAAAACATA